ATTCCCCTGGTTTTCTTAGGAAGATGAAAGGGAGCACGTGACACTGAGCTCTGCTGTGGAAGCAGAGCAGCTGCCAGCCTTCTCTGTGCTAACTCCATCTCTCTGGCCTTTGCCAGTCCTTGGCTCCAAGCAAAATCTCTCTGAGCTCTTCTGGTAGTCTGGGTGCACACTGTCTTCCCTGCTGAGCAGCCTTATTTCACCTTGACAACCCTGTTTTGGGGCCCTGATTGATCAACACTTCTCATAGTAGTGGGTTAGGTAGATGCTCCTTTGGGCAGCCTCCTTGCTGTGGTCTCAGTTGCAGTAATGGGACCACTCTGGAGCAGTTTTTAAGCCAGGTAACCCCTGATGGAGATCAGTCTATCTCTCCCAACTCTGACTGCACAAGCAGATGGAGTAGCACAGCTAAGAGGCAGTTGAGTCAGCAGCAGGACTGCCATGGGAAACGCTGTTTGAGGTGTGCTCTTGTGCCCTAGCTCTGCAATTCTTTTCCCCATGGGAGCTCTCATAGTAATATTTTGCTTTGGTTGTTGAAGCATTTTTGATAACATATCTGAACTAATAAACCAGCTTTTATATTTGCTTGCTTTTTCTTTGAGGCTCACTGTTTCTTGCTCAAGAGGTTTTAACTTCATTAATGCTGTCAGCAAATTCTTTCCCTTCTCTGCATCCTCTGTAACTGACAGTCTGCCTCTTGCTGGGCTTTACAACAAGCTAGCTGATTTTTATTTTTAATTTCTTCATTCCTGCTTTTGGTAGCTGCCATATTTGGTCTTGAAGCTTACAACTACACTGTTGCCTCTTAATTGTCTTCCCTATGCTTACGTGAAGTTGCTCGTCTATATTATATCCTGTTCTGCTTATTTTGCTTGAAATAACTGTGTTAAGGTAGAGAAGTGCACACATACAAGAAATCTTAAACTCCAGGATACAGTAATTCCACCCTCCTGACCAAGTCACATGTGCTGTCCACAAAGCCTCACAGATGCAACAATTTTGTGGTGGATGCAGGATGTGAACTAGAATTAAGCTTCCCCTGTGGACAGATTTCTGCATGATTGCACTTGACAGCACTTCTTGAGCACTACTCTGCAGGATCTGTCTCTGACCTCTGTTGGATGTGATGCTGGGCTAGTTGTGCCTCTGGTTTCCTTTCTTCTAAAGCACTGCTATTCCACCTCTACAAGCTCCTCTCCTAACTTGTGATACAAAAATCAGGACACATAATTTTTGTTTGCGATGCTGTGCCTTGCGTACCCCTTTTCTCTTGCTGTGCATTTTCCTGCTCCCCATTTCTTTATATTCTGACAGTGCTTCTGTTGTTTGACACTCCCAGACTCTATTCCTTGCTGTCTCCCAGAGCAGTTGTTCTCGACAAAAGGACTGTCTGAAGGGAGCAGCTGCTCAGAGGCAGTGTAGTGTGATGGAGCACATGAGGTTTCAGACACACTGTTGAATGGGGAGGTGCAGGTATATTAACTCTGAGCAACATTTCCTTACTTCTAGGAGCCTTACCTCCAAATTAGATTCTCAGCCTTGAGCTGAGCATCCAAGACAAATGGTATAGAGGGAGGTGTGAACAACCAAGAATGAGATCCCAAAAGATATTACCTGGATAGTGGTTTGTGCACTAAAAATGTTACTGGATTTCCTCAAAACTGAATAGTGGCTAAAGACACAGGCTCTTTTTGGTTTACACATCTGATGTTGTGATGTTTGCAGTTTAGCATCTGCTGAGAGCATCCTTCTGTAAACAAATATCATAATAATGAACCTATGTTCTCTTGTAGGACTGAAAAGAACAGATGATTTCTTGCAATTGTTGGAGTATTCACTGGTTTACTTCAAGACAGGAGTAAATAAAAAGTGTCCTCTGTAGGGTTAAGAGTGAAATGCCAGCTTCTGCTGAGTCAGTTCACAGCATCTGTGATTGGTATGAATGGCTGTTGAGAAAATAGTTCTAAAAAAAATCTGTTAATCACAATAGAACAATTAGTAAAAAGGAATTAAAGATAGAAAATGGTTTTTAAAACTTCATTTATCTTGTCATGTATCAGAATAGTCTCATACCTTTGATTGCTTGGACAGTTTCTGCATATGTATATTTTAATTTTCACTTGAGACATGTTTAAGCATTTTTAATCTTAGAATTATGCCTTTTTTTAAATAGTTAATCAGGTAACTGAGAAGGAAATGCCTAGAGGCCTGTTCATTCTGTATATATTCCATACATAATAGCTTTATAGTTATAATGCTGCTCTGTTTTTTCATGTTAGCAGTTTCATTTCTGGTGCTCTGTCTGACTTTGGCATCTTGTACACCTCTGATGGCGCATGGCCCTGGGTGAAATAGCCCGTCTAGACAGCACAGGCAGGACCTGACAGCAGAAAGCAAACCTATGGGATTAGACTAAATAGGAGGTGATTAATTCTGGTCGACTGCGCTTCAAAACTGATGATGTCTCCTGCCAAGGTGGGGAATATTTCTTGCAGAAAGATGAAAAAGAAACAGCACCAACTATGGCATGATTCTTTACTCCCCTTCTTGGAGAGATTAGCTCTTAGAGTTTAGGACTGTCACATTTAGGGAAGCTGCACTCTTTCAGGTAGAAATCCTGGAGGAAGAATAAATACCTCTTCTACCAGGTTGGAACATCCTGTCTGGGCTTTAGCACAGTCAGATTTCAGCTTGGTTTTGTGATCCAGTCTCCTGGGGCCTTTCCTGCCACTTGTTCTGGAAGCTGCCTCTGGGGTGGGGAGCTGGAAGAGGAGCTGTGCCCAGCCTTGGTGCTGGGCTGTGAGGCAGGACAGGCCCAGGCAGCTGGTGTATGGTGTTGATGGGAGCTGTACATAGTGTCTGCAAAGAAGCTGCTTGGTCAGGCATGCAGAGAAGGCAAAGGATGGGAGTCCTCCCCTTGGACAGCTTGCGGAGCAGGCTGGCTTGGAAGTACCAGCCTGGTCAAGCAGGTCCAGTGCAGAGAAAATGGCAGCACACAGGGCACCCAGCCTGGGGCTGAGATGTGTTCTTCTGTGGAGTGGCTTTAGGTTGCAGAAACAAACCCAGAGCCTCCAAAAAAAAAAAAAGTCAGAAGCAGATTTTGGGTAGGGAACCCATTTCTTCTGGTAGTTTTGGCCTGGCAGGGCTGCAGGCGGTTGGCTCCTGGCACCACTAGGTACAATATTGTTGTTGACTTGCGTTTAAAAAGTAGCCTAAGCTGTTGGATTTGTGAAGAAAAATATTGGCTAGTTTCCTTCTGCTAGAATGGAATTTCATGCTGGTGGCTGATAGTCTGGTGGGCTTTCAGCACTGTGCATAAATACTCACTTAAAGTTTATGGGCTTTTTTTATTTCATTCTTTGAGATGTGAAAAAGTCTGATTGGGAGAAGTTTCTCTTCTCTGTAGCCCAAATCCTGAGGATGCACAATTGCATTTCAAGAAACTTACCAAGCAGCCAGCAGTGAGATGAATTAATTATTTTCTTTTAAGTAGGCTAGAGTCTTGACTTGTGCAGACTGATGATAACAAATGGCAATACTTTGTGCAGATGAGATGTGTCCTGAACACAGAAGGAAGAGAGAAGACCTCCTTGTTGTCAATGTGGCTCTGGCTTTCCAACTTCTGGCAAATACTTTTCCTGGATCTCCTCAGTTTGCCTCCCTGTAGAGCAGAGATAATATTTTTCAGTCCCTGAGGAAGATCACATGTGAAGACTTTGAAGATAAAAACACTCTATACTAGCTATTACTGTTAGCTTTACATAAACCCAAAGCATGTAGTGTTATCTAACTCTTTTATGCTGTGTATCTCGGAGTGATTCAAGCATATCTAATAATCGAGAACTCGGAAATAGCACTGTGCCAATGTGGGGAAAGTGGAGCTGTGAGAATACACCTCACTCCTGGTTTTAGCCAATAGGCAGGGAAAAGTATTGCTAGTTCTTGCAGCGGTAAATTTTTTTTTTCTTCAAGCTTCAGCTGTTGGAGTGATGTGAAAGACTTGGGCAGCTGGGGCCAGAGGGAAAATGTAATTTTTCACAGGATTTAGTGACACCAATTGCTGAGTTGAATACTGGTGCTTAAAATGGAATTAGTAGTAATGTCTCAGCATACTACAGGAGTCTCATTTTACTGATCAGATGCCATATTACTTTGATTTAGGTGAAGGAATGTTTCCAGGCAAACTTGCTGTGTTTAGTAATGTGCATATTGGGAAGGTAAACATACCTTGTGCTTCCCTTGAGATAATATGCCTATAGCAGACAGTTTTTACACTTCCAAGTGACCAACTACTGCCTAAAATTATCAGGAACTATCTTATCATAAGATAATGTAATTGTGGTTGTTTAGTCCTTTCAAGTCTGTTTATAAATGAGGCAGAGCTTGTACAGAGGAATTATGCTCTTATTAGCCAGCTGATATAGCTCGAGGAAGGACCAAACTCTCAAATAGTTTGTGTTCCTGACAGATTCTCTGTTTTTGTTGTGTGTTTTTTTTTTTTCTTTGACAATATTAGATGACCTGATAAAAGTTTCTCACAGACAAAATAATAAAAGCCTCTGAGGTAGCACAAGTCAAGGTCAGAAGTCACCAGCTCTTAAAAAGTAGTTTTGTGGGTTTAGATTCAAGAAATCCTGTATGGATGTATGGGGAAGAGAAGACATCTGTTCCCATATCTTGTTTGTCCATGAGGTGTGTAAGACCTAGCTGATAAAGTTAATACAATGCCACTTTTCTGGCTCAGAGCAGGAGCTCAAAAGTGATAAGACTGAGAAACCCATCAAAAGAGGCTTTGCTCATTTGGGCTGTCTTCTGGTGGCTGCCCAGGCAAAGGCTTTGCCCCTGCTGTGGGCCCTGAGGGCCACCAGGGAGGTGCTGGGTGGGTACCCTGTGCCCCTCGTAGGTCATCATGTCTCCCTGTCAAAACGAGCAAGAATTGAAAGCTCCTTGGAAACTATGAATACTTCTCACTGATGCAGAGCTTCCCTTTGGCTGTTCTGCAGCTGAGGCAGCTTTTTGGGAGTGCTGTGCCTGCTTTCCCCCCAAAGTTTTACCTGGGAATGACCAAGTCAATGGCAGAAGAGAGATGGTCTCAGCTGGAGCAGTACCTTCAGAATGGTAAGCTTGGCTGCAACAACCTGATCAACTTTTATACAAAGGGCTTAAAGCTTGGAGGATGTGTCCGTAATTGTGACTGCAGTGTGCTTTACCTTCTGTGCTGAGCTGAGTAAGGGTGTATCTGAAAGGCTGGGGCTAAGCATTGCAGCCCTGTCCTGTCCATTGGGTCACTGGCTCTAGAACAGCAGCATATCATATTTATTTCTGAAGTGGCTGCCTTTCTGTAGCTTTCCCAAACTGTAAGGGTAAAGTTTCCCACTAAACTTTGTCCAGTTTGGCCTTCTGGTGGCAGCCTGTAGTCTGGCCATTCTCTGCTCTTCGGAATCAGCGAACTGAGCCACCCATCCCTGCTGCGTCATGACTGACAGAGCTGATGTGGGACTGGGTGTGGGAACTCATGGCTGGTGGGTAGAAGAGGGAGGTGACAAATACAGGCAGCTGGGCCAGTAGAAGTGTAATGTGGAACTGGGTTCTGCATAACCTCTTCCCTTCAAGGGTTTCCAGGCAGACTTGTGATAATTATGATAAGAGTTTGTAGAAAATTTAAATCTCAGGCACAATGTGTTGTGGTATAAACCAGGTCTGCACATTCTCTAGAATGTGTCTCATGAGTTTCACGAAAGCCAAGAAATTAAAAAAAAAAAACACAACCATTTAACCTACCCAAAAAGAAGGGTGTGTGAGAAGATGAACTTCAAGAGGTTTTGTAGCCTCTGGCCTCAGATACTTTGTGCCAAGACTTACAAAACAGAAACTCAAGATTAGTCTTTAAAATATTACTTAGTGATTATTATATATTTTTCACTTGAGTATTCAACAGTTCCTGAGTTACTAGCTCTGAGTGACCACAGAGTTACGTTGTCAAGAACCTTGCTGCAGTCTTGCTTTGAGAGAATAGCAACACTGCATGTATCTTACCTGTTGTTAAACCACTTGAAGCTATGAACAGCGCTAGCAAAGGTAGCTGTGCAGAAACCAAAGGATGAGTAAAGTTGCACTGATGGTTTAACCAACAGTCACGTTGTATCTATCTTGTTTTTTAGACACTAGCCACATTTTTAATCTGTTGTCTAAGTTTGGTTTCCTCTGTCTTAGTTTTCCTCTTGTTTTTCAGTTACTTTGGACTCAAATATTACCAATAGTGATGTCTTCACAGGCTTTTTCCGAAAGCTACAGCAGGTAAGTTTAGAATTTTCAACCAAATAGTTTATTATTTGAAAGATTTGAAATATTATCCTACCTCCTGAGTTCAGGGCTTCCTTTGCTGTCTTCCTTTCCTTATGTTCCTAGTTTATTGGTCTGCCTTGGAAAGCAGCGAGTTCTGATTGCAGAGTGCTCTCTGAAGCCTGGGTGGCAATAATAATAGTATTGCTATTGTTTTGGCCATGTACAAACTTGTTTCTCACATGGAAAGAACTATTTGCTTTGTTTTTATATCCTGTGACGTATCTGATTGATCTTTTGCTTCCAAACAGAAGAGTTTTTGTGAGAGCTCAATAGAAGGATTACACACATTCCTGGATTTAGCAACTGTAAATGCTTTTTGGTAGTGTCAGTGCTTTGGACTGATAACTGTATTGATGACTGCCGTGAAAATGTCATGTTCTCTTCTCTTGCAGCTGTAGTGATGGGAAGAGAGCCTGGCATGTATTTGGGTTGTTGCAACCTGGGTGACTTTTGAAATACATTTTAATGTGGTCCATGACACGTATGATCTTTCTTTGGCAGGCTTGGAGCCTGGATAGCTCTTGCTTGTGTCTGACTACTGCAAGGTGCCGTATGTCCCTTTACTTCCCTTACCTCCTCTCCAGCTGCTGTGGTTGGTTCTTATGAGGATAGGAGTGTTTTGGAGCAGGTGGGTGCAGTGTGACTCCAAGAGCATTTTCCGGGAGGGGATGCTGCTTTAGTCTTCTGGGAAATGCTTGGCATGCTGCTGGTGCTGCTGTAACCTTGCTTGCAGTGAGTTTTGTGGAGAGAGGGGATGTTCTGAAGGACTGAGTAAGAGTTTTGTGACTTGAGAGCTCTTCATTTGCTATGTGTGATTAAGGTATGTAAGGGGAATTCAGAAAGACTATAGAAAATTATGTGAAGTATTCCTAACAAGTTCTAGAAATGTTTTTCCTATATACTTTGTAAATAAAAAGATACAGTTTATATACAGTCTTGTAAATTCAGACCTACTGAAGTGCTAAGACAGTAAATGAAAAGCCCGTTTCTGATTAGGGATCTCTTTTGTGAGAAGCAGTCTCTGTTTGGTTCTGATCCAATGCCTGTTACAGCCCTATGGATAATTCCCAGCAATTACTGATGAGTCTTAATTGGTCTTGATGAGACTGGTAACAGGTCCACTAAAGAAAGTTAAATCCATCAGGGATGCCTGCAATTTGCCCTCAAACACTGCCAACTGACTTTTTTTGACAAAGTTCTGTCAGGAAATAACTCTTCAAAATTCATGTTTGCAGTGTTTAAAATGTCTTTTGGCACGCCAGTATTGTGCATTTCTCTTAACATACCGTCAAAAAATGATATTGTATGTTTAGGTTTTTCTCTACTGTGGGCCCTTTTGGTGAAGAGGGTTGACTTGATAAGTACATGTGTATCACTTACTTGATTGATGGGTTATGTACATATGTGTGTGTACCTTTTAAGGCATGTGGTGACTGTGCTGCCAAAACCAGTCAATTATTTTTTAGAGTTCAAGGTAGGCACTGAATTATACCTTAAATGTTAGTGCCAGGTCAGTACCTTCTCAAGGCATAAAATTAACCCAAATTTCTGTTCCACAATACAATGGATTTTCATACATGATGTTTAGGCTTCTTGCTTGGCAAAGACAGTAGTTCTTCAGCTTTTTTTGTTTACAATTTAAATTTAAAATGGTTGTGCTTACATAAAATACTGCTTCATAATACAAATAGTGCTTTGTGTTCTTTCATTATGGTGAAGAACAAACTCCTAAAAGAGATCAAATAACTCTGTGAAAGACAGGAGTGCATCCACTGTCATTAGCTGTGCACAGTGCCTTTAGTTGGTGTAACTGCTGACTTTTTTTTTTCTTTCACCTTTCTATCTTTTATTATAAGAGGCAATAGAGCTGTCCTCAAGTAGTCTGCTAGTGCTTCGTTTTCTTGGCTTGTCTTAAAAGCAGCAGTATTTAAGCTTCTAGCTAGAGATATTTGTACACGTCACTGGCCAAAATAGAAGATGCAAAGGAAAAATCAAACTGAATTTAAAACCTTTTTGGTCCTTGTCTTGTGTTTTGCTTCTGAATCAGGTTGTGAATGGTGTGCTGAGGCCAGCACTCCCTGGAGTGTGTGTGCTGTGCAAGGACCATGGCTTTGTGGCAACTGCCTGACAGTGTTGAACATGACTTATCTGTACCTGTGACCAGCATCGCACCAACCAGCTGTGTCCCCCTGTTGGTATCTAACAGTGCAAACTCCTCAAGTGAGGACAAGCCCATGCAGGTTAACCCTGCTTTCCAGTCCCCTGTCTTTGCCCAGCACCATCTTTATCTGTTGCATAGGTTGTTATGGTTTGTTCCTTATAGCAGGCATGCTCTGGCTGTTCCCCCAGCAACCTCATCTCATGGGAGAAGTTGTCAGGAGACAGCAGGGCTCCTGACACATGAGGAAGCAGCTTGCTGCAATGGATGCTTTGCTCAAAACGAACATTGCCAAAATATTTATCAATGCTATCGTGTAGCAGGGTTGAACAACCTAACCCATAAGCTCTCTGCCTCTCTGTTCTTTTAAACTCTGCAAACTTGTCCAGTGACCAAGCTGGAGTGTATGCTACACTGCCTCCATCCCCTAAAGACAAATGGCACAGTTCTTGCAAGAAGTCATGAACAAGACTGTTGTGGCTGTGTCATGTCTTTTTCCTTTCTCATGAGGAGAAAGATGGTATGAGTAGGTACATACATCCCTACTGGTCTCATTTTAATGCAACTCGCTTACTTGAATGTGATTTGAGATCACGGTCTGTCCCTGTATTGGGCACCCATGGAGTAATGTGGTATATTCACAACACAGCTGTGGGGACAGCCAGTCATTATGCATTTATGAATAAAATGGAGATGCATTTCCTTGCAGCAGCAGAGGTTTGGGGTTAGTGATCTGGGAGACTGACCTTTTCCGGTCTGTGTTTCTGATAAACAGCAGCCTTTAGGAGGAGCAAAACGATTCAGGTGGTAATGAAAGGACAGACGAAAAGTTTTGGAGTACTTGAGCAAATAAAGCCAAACAGCGCTTGATAACAGGCAAGAAGCAGTGTTCCTATGTGTTCCCTCATCAAATGAGTGTGATGTAAAGTGGTTTTCCTTCTGAAGAGCAAGCATGAGGCCAAGGACTGAGTAACGTAAGAGAGCTGTGGTGTGTATGCTATTGAGAGTGTAGGCAAAATGTAATCCAGAAATCTGCAGGTATTACCAGGAATCAAAGCTGGTCAGGTTGTGGGCTGCATTTTGTTGGATAAAGCCCTTCTCTCTGACCGTGCAGCCTCTGTTTCTCTGCACTTGCAATGTGCTTACTATTTGTGCATGCAGTGGAGGGACGCACGTTGGTCATGTTCCTCTGTATTCACTTGCAGTAGCTCACAAATATGTTTGGATGTGTATGTACGCAAACAGAAGTCAGGCTGAGTACGATTGCAGCACTGCTCCAAAGATGTTATTTTTTTCATATCAAATCAGGTTGAGTTTCTTATTTATGAACTTCTATTTCAGAAGTGCAGCTGGCCAGAAATCTGAATTTCATGTGGGATGTTCTCATACTTTCAGACTTTCATTGTGTGCTGGCTGGGGGGGGTGGGGGGAAGGATTCTGGCATAGAAAGGTCCAAAGAACTTTAATTCAAGGATGTCTGTTTTATTTTTGTTTCAATGTTAAGATGCAGTTCAGTCCCCTGACCCACTGTTCTTTCCAGATATGTTTTAATATGGGCCTCTGTTCTCACCCTTTCTCGTTTTATGGCCCATGCTTCTTAGCTGAGCAGCAATTCCACTGAGAGCTTGCTGAGGGTTCAGATTGGTGTTGACTTCTGTTAAAACAAAATAAGTTTTCTAATGGAGAACTGAGAGAAAAAAAAATCTAGATTTTTTTTTTTTTTTTTTTGCAGGGAAACTGTATAATGGATATCATTTTTGGTGCTTTTGTTTGTTTGCAGTTTTTGTTGTTTTTCTTTTGTTTTTCAAAACTGTTCTTTTCATCAAAACCAAAAAATTAAGAAAATCCCTCACCAGCCCTGTCTTATTCTGTATTCTTGTATTAATGACAGAGGCATGCTTCCAGCTACTGGGGCAGGCATGTGGGGAGTAGGCAGCCGTTCTAAATGTTTCAGGAGATTCTACCACAGGTAATAGTGACAGCATTAAGGGAAGATTCAAGTAAGCAGTATTAAGGGATACAAGATAGTGTCCAATTCTAGTTACATGGCATGTTCCCTGAATTTCAGGAGCAAAAATGTAGGAAATGTGAAAAGTACTACTGAACAGGTACTGTTGCCAAAATACAGGGTTGTTTTTATGTTGGTGCCTGTTTTGAGTAGATGAGACAATAACTCTATTGCTTTTCCTAAAACTGAAATATTGTCTTGGGAGAAGATCTGAACTTTTCTTACTCACTGCTGCAAAATGCTTTCAAAAGTATTTTTCTGTCCATTTTGGAACTGGTTGGGGTTGCTCTGTGTACTTACTAAATGGATTATCTCTTCCCTTTGTATTTGTATTAAACTTATACTGTATTCTTTTGTGTTGCTTTAGGGGCATGTCTGTATTTTTTTCTTCACTTAACACTCTCTTCTCCTGCCTTACAGACTGCACTGTTTCCTCCTTTTGTTTTTATGTAAGTAAATTTTTTTGGTCTCAACAATACTTTGCTGATAAGAGGCTAAACACAAATATTTATAACACTGAACAATGTGTGTACTTTCTGGCATGGACAGTTGTGCCTTCTGGGTTAAAAGCATGTGATAAAGGAGGGGAAAAAAATCCCTAAACCCAGCGGTTTAAGATAATTCTTATTTTTTGGTTTTCTGTGTCATAGTTAAGAGAATAGTAATCAAAAGTTGGAGATAAAGTAGGGAATTTGTCCTAAAGACAATGAAGCTGTGCCCGTAGTTTAGTAGAGTCAAATAAGATAAATTAAAGCAGTTTTAAAAAGAAGACTGTGGAAACCACTGGTTCAAGTATTAAACAGTGATACTTAGTGTGACCATTCTAGATGGGACTGAGATTTTCTTGTCTCTGATGCATCCTTTCTTGTAGATACTCACATTAATCTGCCTACTAATATGTTGCATGGTGTTCTTGGAGAACTCAAACTGCTTGGAAGTAGCTTGGAAGCTTGGATCGTGCTTCCCTTCATGATTGCTGAGTAGTGAGGTGGCAAACACGGTAGCGTGCTGTGACTTGGGACTGCCTTTGAGTGGCAGAAGGGTAAAGTGACCTTTGTGTCTCGTCCACTGTGGCAGCCCAGGGTCAAAGGTGGCCTGTACCCAGGCTGTGAAAGCTGCAGAAGTAGATGTGTAAAGTCCTCCATGTCCTTTCCCTGTGAGAGCTGCAGCATTAGCAGCCCGCACCCAGAAGGTTTACTGCAGTGTGTGAGCCTTTGCGCTCGCCTTCAGCCCCCAGCACTGCTGAGTCCTGGGGAGTAAACTGACTCTATAGTGACCTGCTTTCTCCTTGTCAAGAGTCAGTAATGGGTTACTCTGTCATTCTGACGTTGGCATCCCATGTTTGTTCTGTGTTTCACATACATTTTTATCCAATGTGAAATGTTTCATACCAAAATATGTGCACCCACAGCATTTGTGAGGAATTGTCTGCTCCTTGCTGTTTGAGGAAAGTAGTAAAGTACTCAGGTAAGCACAGCAGATGATCCTTCATGTAAGAGAGAGGGAGGCTTTTGTATCTCCACAGGAGCAAAGTAATGCTTATTTTAATTAAGAGGAATGAATAGACCTGTCTCCTGGATAAGAACGAAATTAGTTTAGGGATAAAGATTAAATCTGTGTGGATCGCCAGCAGGACTTCAGACAGGACATTGGCCAATGCCTTGAACAGGTTCTCGTCTTCTTTAATTTCTACAAACAGATGTGTAGGCATGCAGCTAGGTGAAATACTGGGCACCAAGAAAGTCTGTGGGAAGTCTGTTTAAATAAGAAAGATGGTTTTGTTTCGTTTTTCCTCAAGACCTTTTTTCTTCCCACACATCATTCTACAAACTTTTGACAGCATGTTCTTAATTTTTAGATGATGTGGAAGAAGACACTTGTTTGCATTTGATCTTACCTTGAAATAACTCTTAATTAAGCCAAATTTACTGGAAAATGTGATCTTTCTGACCCAAAAAAGTTACCAATCTGGTCTGAGTTAGTTAATTGGAGTCATGCATCCCAGCATGTTCTCCAGGGTACCCAAAGAGGGGTAATGGAGCACCCAGCATAAATGTCAGTGACATTGCAGGAGTCAGGAGATACTCCAGTATACAGGCACCATGAGGACTCTGCAGCAAGATACTGCAAGTACTTGAAACCTAAGGGCTCTCAGGGAGCCTCCTGCATCTTCCACCAGGCTAGCAAAGGTGGAGACAAGAAATTAAAATTGAATGTTACATGCAGTATGTACAGGTACAGCGTTTTCCTCCACTTTGAATCTCAAGGGAAGTACCTCTCCTTAATTACTAAAAGGCCAGAAGAAGACCATTGCTGTCCTCTGATACAAGGCAGTCAACAGGAAGAGGAGCTGCAGCAATGAATTTCTGTCACCTCACCTGATTGCTTCAGTTTTCCAGATTGCAAATCACCTGTTTATCATGTCTAGACATAAGACAGTTCTCTGAGGTCACTTATTTGAGACCTGTTTTCTCATGACCTAAATGCTTTCAGGTTTCTTCTTTATGTTCCCTCTCCATTTGTGGTGGTTTTGAACCTTGGGCACTGGTCCTGTGCAGTATTCCAGCAGCAGTGGAATTATTCTTACTGGAGACTTTCCTATTTATAGGAACAGGGATGCTTTTTTTTTTTCTCCTTTTGACAAGGTTATGGCTTTGAATATTCACATGCAGCTCTTTACCCACCTCCTCTTTTGGAGTCTACTTCATAGGACAGTGACAGCATCATTCCTACAGACACTGAGACACCATGTAACCTGTGTTCAGCTTAACATCAAAGTGACCCTCATCTAATTCTGCAGTGTCTTCCCACTTGCTGTTCTGCATATGGGGCTTTTTTGGTCATCTGCAAGCTGTAACACTAATTTTAGTGACTTACTGCTTAGTAAACAGTAATCTCAATTGTTTATTTTACTTGAGTAAATAGGGAAATAGAGCATCAGTGTCTTCAGAAGGGCTCCAGCAATACTGAAAGCAATAAAACTGTGTTCTGTTTCTGCCTAACAGGATACATTTAAGATACAAACACAGGGAGCCTTTTTGGATGTTTACCTTGCTGATGGCAGCAATATTAGACTCGATATCCAGACATCGGACACTGCAGAAAGAATACTAGAGGTAATGGGTTTGGAATTGTGCTGAAATTTTCCACTTGTGAGAAGTGGGCAAAAATGAAGATAATTACAGTCAGGAAAGGACAAAACTACTTGAAGACATACAAGAATATCTTCTGTGTTTTTTGAGAGGTTTATTGTACCAGGGAGGTAGGGGGTGTTGCTGATTTTGCAGATGTGTTTTTTTGGCTCTTATATTTGTCCATAATGTACCTCTTCTTAATGCTACGTGCCCTCTGCTTCTATGGCATTTGGCTGTCAAGTTCAGGTTTCCTTCATACATGATAGGACCATAAAATATGTATTACTCCTTATGGGCAGAACACATTCTTAATTAATCCCCCCTTTGGTTTAGCATGGTGTGGGTGAAGTGCTTGAACACTGCCGTCAGAAATGATGCTCTAGTCTTGGCTTATGTCTTAGCTGGTGCACTGCTATTAAAACCTAGTGTGCCACTGATATGTCTTGTTTTTCTGAATGCTCCTCCTTTACTTCTTTTGTGTCCCCTGATGTTTGCTGTGAAGCTGTGGGACTTCCTTTGCAGTATTGGCACGGTTTGAGCACTGTGGCTCTGAGACGTCTGTAACAGCTGTTTTAATACACAGAGTAAATGATTGCTAGTTACATTTCGAAACCAGTAGCAACCAAATGTTGTTTACACAACTGGCTGGCTTGTGTTTGGAACTTTCAACTGGGGTCCTCCTCTTAAGCCAGCAGAGGAGGAGCAGCAGCCGCTCTGCATATTTTGTGTATTTGCACATGTGTGTGTGTGTGAGCAAGGCTGAAACCTCTTCATTGGTTGCTCCCATTTCCTCATCCTAATAGCAGTAACAAAATATATACCTGCCAGATGAGTGCTCTTTGTCATGGGAATCTGAAATTTGCTCTCATCATACAGAAAACCGTATGGGAACTGACGGAAGTAGGTGCTAATAGAGTGGACAAAGTGGACTTTAAAAAATACTAATAACTTAGGCTTGATAAACTTATTAGTTTTGCAATGGGTCAAGGTAATTTTCAAACCGCAGTGGTGTTGTATGTTGCTTTGTATATTGCATTTATAGGTGTTCAATGTTTATGGGGCACTGTAAAGAAACAATGACATTTGAAATGCTGCTGACACCACTTCTCTTGTGGTCTTAAAGATGAGATAGGACTTTTAGGAATTATTTAGCTTTTATCATTGTAAACGTGCCACCAGGTTCACTGTTCTTTTGCAGTGGAGGTAGGTTTTGCAACCATCACTCCCTAACATCCTGGTGTTCAAACAGCCTATACCGGCTTGTGCTTTGATCTGAGAAATAAAATAAGTCAAAAATCCTACTGAATCAGAGATCTGTGTTCAAAGTTCCTTGGAAATGCCATCTGGTACACTTGGTAGTATGCTACTAAGGGATAACATGTTGAAGCTCTCTGGCTAATTTCTTAAAGTAAATTTGTGGGGGCTTAGCCCAGAGGCAAACAGAATGAAAGGTGCTGCTGCCAATATTAACTTTTTTTGTCTTTTGTGTGTGGGCTTCTGAGACTTTCTTCCTATTATGCCTGGTGTCTGAACTGAGTGTGAGGCAAGTGATTTTTATGCTCTGCTGCCCTCTCCGGTAACAGCCCTGATATAATATAATGAAAACCTCATTAATGCGTTTTTTAATTTTAACTTGGAACAATTCTTCCTAACCCCTATTTAGCCTCATATCTACTTTTTCCCCATGCACAAAATATCTCTGCTTTTTAAACCAGCTGATACAGCTGGAGAAAACCCTTCTGACCTGTGGAGACGAGTGAATTTACAGGGCTATCACTGTGACACAGAGCTGGAAGTGTTTTGGAATTGGCACCCTTTGGTGCTTCTCTGACCAAAGCATGACTTCTCTATCAGGTTGCACAATCTGCCAGTTGAGCTATGACAGGAGTATTCTCCGGGGTGGAGAGTTTTCTTATAGTGGCCACACCACTTTCCTGAGTGAACTCAGGAGATTATGGTCACTGCAGGATTTAGGAATGCTCTGATGGCAGTGTGCTCTTTTAGGTTATGGCAGCTTTAGCTTTATGCTTTGATTTTTGAGGACCTAAAACAGAACAAGACAACGGCCCCAATCTGATTCAGCAGTTTCTGTGCTCACCTCTGCCTGATTTTTCTGTCCCCACTATCCCATTGTGCAGCCAGTCCTGCAAATAATTTCTGCATTTTCTGTTGGTGCTACTTCTGTCCCCTTTCTGAGAAGATGTGGAGGAGCCACAGCAAGCTAAAAACAGTCCAAATGTCAGGCTGGATAGGATTTTTCTTCCTTATGCACTTTCAATAATGAAAGCTCAATAGAGCTCAACTCAGCTCTTGTCAGAAGCCTTCACACAGAATTGTAGAACCCTGCAAGTAAGACTGCTGCTTTCAGTAAAGGGGTAGGACTTGAAGATTTTTCTTAGAAAAACAAGAGGGCTCTATCAGCTTGGAAAACACACAAATCCTGTAAAAATACATATTTGTGATGCTTGTGAGCAATGTTAGCTCAGAGCACGTGGTGTTCCCTGTACAACAGGATTTGAGGATCTAGTAGTAAAGGTCTGGAACAGCAAACATGGCAGATGCCTTGTGTTAGAAAATACTTAAATGCATGGCAGAGCAGTAAACATTTGCTGGTTTATTACATTTTTATCTTCCTTTGAAACTTATGAAACTCCTCACAAACTCAATTGCTGCAATATGGGAATGGTTATATTTGCTTTTATATGGGTAGTTGAATGGGACATAAGGGGAAAATTTTAAAACAATTCAGTTACGTTAACAGGTATTGAACATTTCTTCCTCATTCATGCTAACAGATAGCTAAGCTTCTGACCTTCTTTGTTTTTAAAGGTTACATTGTGCAAGATGGGACTGTCAAGAGACTTAATAAAATATTTTAGCTTATTTTTCTTTCAAGATCATGAGGATGGAGCGCTCTCTGGTAAGTTTTATAAGGTGCTTAACTTAGTCCTCCCTTGGATTTTTTTTTTTGTCGTCGTTGTTGGCTGCAGTGACAGCCTGGACTCGGAACAGAGCTTGCATGAGCCTGCTCAGGCTGAAAGACCCATCCTGTCTGATAAATCCCCTCAAGCCCTCTCCCCACAAGGCTAGGGGAACAAAGTATGGCAATAGATAGTGTGGTGCAGGGGTGAGACTTTCACATGCGAATATAATTTCTCTTTCAGTTTATAAGACATGTAGCAACTTTACCACATGGGAACTATTGTGTGTATCTTCTGGGTAGGCATTTAATCAGATGGCCATACCCACATAAAACAGTTCTTAATTTACAGATCACATGCTGAGTTTAACAATGGGACAGGAAACTCTTGTTATATTTATAAACAATACCTGTGGCTTACTTTCCTTTATATCATGACATGTTTTCTTTCTTAACTGACAGAAACTTAAGTTTAACCACAATGGTACTGAGCAAGCTGTAAATCAGGGTTGTGAGTCTCTTTCTGGTCATAAAACATGAAGCGGCTTTTATGTCCTCATTGGTGTGCTTATCTCCTGTTTCTGATGTGGATGGGTGTGTGGACGAGGCTGGATCCAAGCCTGAGACCAGGATAGGCTTGGGCCACATCAGGGAAGCGAGCAGAGTGTTTGCTCTTGACTGGAGTAAAGTTAGGTACTGCAGCTTCTCTGTGTGCCCTTGACAAGTCATTTAGCTTCTTTCAGTCTGCCCGTTGGTGTAAAGATGTTAATGCTCTTCTGAACCTTTTCAAGATGAAGTCTAGTAGTAAACTTGGGCTTACTCAGTGGGGTAGGAACTTCTGTCTGTCTGTTTTATTTATCATTCTGCTGCCCCCCTTCTCCCTGGCTGTGACAGCCATCTCTGAGTACACAGAATCCCTGGCTGTTACTACGTCTCAAACATCTGGATATAACATTTTATACACTCTTCTACTGCAGTTGCAGATGGTTTTACTTTTGCCTTGTATTGTGATAGATACACAGAAGAATAGAAAAGTTTCTCAATTGATTACATTTCCATGCATCTTTGGTATTCCTTACAAATATGTCCAAATGTAACCCACATTCCATTGCCAAAAAAAACATTTAGATGATCACATGCTTAAAATCACATGTTCTGCTTTGTTGTGCTATCAGCTTAGAAATAAATGTTTACAGGTTTGGGCCTTTAGGCTTATATTTTTTCACAAAGTGAGCAGGAAAGTAGTCTGAGGAGTGATATGCTTTCCTTACTGTATGTTAGTTATACTGCTCCTGTCTGGTGTTCTGTTCAAGAAAAGCACCAGTCCCGGAAGCTTGCATCCACACAGCCTTCAAATGAACTAACATCCTGCTTAGTTGTGTATTGCGAGAAGGATATTCTATGAGAGCATAGTCTAAAGGAGGAGAAGGATATTCTGTAAGAGCAGAGTCTAAAGGAGTAGAGATATTCTCTAAGTAATAGAGCTAAGTAAGTTTAGACTTGGAGAAGTGAAGAAGATAATTAACCTGTCACCTTACTTTACCACCGAATTTGGGTTGTTTTTCTTCTCCAAAAGCATTTTGCTAACCAGTACTAACTGATACATGGACATAGCTAGGCTGTTTCACTTTATTTCACCAAATGTCTCTGGTTTTTCTTCTTTTCCCAGTGGTGAAAAAAGTGGCAGAATTTGAACTTCCTTATGTGAGTCTTCAGAGCATGAAAGAGTTCCACTGTAAGCTTGGGATCAGAAAGTGGTGAGCAAGAAGCTTAAGAGAAACTACCAAGATGCATGACAACTACAAACAGAGAGAGAAATCCCTTGAATAACTTAGTTGCAAAGTCTTCAAGCCTCAGCAGCTTGACTTTTTTTTCCCTGACACCAATTTGTTACTGGAATTGGCAGGTTGCTGTGGCTCTGCATGTTTTAAATCTTATCACCGTAGTATTCCTGAAGTATCCTTTACTGCAGCTAGCTATTTATTCCCTCTGTCTTTCAGAACCAATAGAGAGGTGCTTTGTGGCTGCTTGACTCCTAATTTTTATGCCTGCATAACGCAGTGACCACAAATGGGAATATAAACAAGATAGAAGAGAACCTCCAGTTCTGAGTTGCGAGCTGTAACTCTGTGCAGAGATGGATTACTTTTTATCTAAAGTGCTCATTTCTGTATACTAATACACAAAATACCTGAGGCCATAGCTTGAGCATTGCTTTTGGTAAATGGCCTGGTTTAAGCAGCAGAGCACTCTTGCTCTTTCAGTTGCTTGCACCTTGGGCTCCTCCTCAATTATGTTGGTGGAACTGTGTGTGGGCAGATGTGGTGAGCTAACCTGGCCTAAAAATAAGTTGCTGGCTCTCTTTTTTTTTATTTGGTTTTGCTGGCCTATTTTTGGCCTGGGTCAGTCCCTCCGTCCTGTTTGCTGTGCAGCAAGCAGTTGTGCTGACTTGAGGATGAGGATAAACCCCAGGGACAGGGAGTCTGGTGCCAAAGTCCCGCTTGTCACACAGTGCCCTGAGGGTGCAGTTAGGCAGTATAGCTGAGCCAGTCTGATGGCTCACTGCTGTGGTTGTGGTCTGGTCTGCTTCTCCCTACAATGCCAAAGAAAAAAGGGAATAGATTTTTATATGCTTAGTGAGTTGCATTGACGGCATCAAATTAATGGTAGAGCAAGGACTGTGGCTGGGAGCTGAAGAGGAATAACAGACCATGCCTTTTGGTGGCAGCAAGTGAGGTTGCTTGGCTTGAACGTACACAGAAACCTGTTGTTTGATGCTTGTCACTTGTCTGGTTTAAATCTGCTGGGCTAGAGCCTGGCCTCTACAAACTTTCTCTGTTTCCTTATGTGCCCTTACGAACTGCAGAACCTAGCAGCCTAATGAAAGAACCGCGTGTGGTTCTAAGCCATGGCAAAGTGACTGAGTAGATACTTCCCCATCTAGCACTGCTTCAAAGCACAGGGGTAGGAAATGGCAGTCCTGGGGTTGTTAGTGTGCTGCAGGAAGCATATTGCCTGTGCAGTGTGAGTAATACAGCTGTACTGGCCACGGAGCCCACGCTGCTCTGTTCATACTGTAGATTTATGCAATCTGCTTTAAAAAAAATAGGCTCAAGCTAACTGTTGCAGCATGGCACTTGGATAACTGAGTTGCTGATAACAGAGAACAGGTTGCTCTGTTGCTGTACTGATCTGATCCTGCAGCAGTTCTCCAGCAGTTGGCACTGCAGCTGGCTAGCTTAAGGCTGGATCTCATGGATCAGCACTGCAGTATGGCAATGGATGCTCTTCAGTCTTACCAACTTTTATGTAGACAAGCCCTGAGTTGTTTGAGAAAAGGAGGCAGAAAGTTTTAGTTCTAAATTGTAACTGTTACGTTTGGTACAAAGTGGAGAGATTAGAAAACCTGACTTTAGTTTATTTCCATTCTGCTACAATGCACAAAAAATTAGCATAGTACAGGCTTCAAGGGCACAACTGTGTTTTGGTCTGGTTTGACTTTTTAATCTGGTAAGTAATGGGATCTTTCTGGGTTGTGGTTTCATCACATTTTGCTGAAAAATCAAATTGCCATGTCTAGAAGCATGTCTTCAAATTTTATTACTTTTTTCCCTTGGCTTGGAAAAGGTATATGGATCCTTCTCTTGACACGCTGCTGATGGACTGTAGCGCTTCACTGAATTTGCTATATATGCAGGTAAAACTGAAAGGTCTTTATAATTTTAAAAATTAACTTTTCCACATTAATTTCATCTTTTATACAAATTATTGAAATGTTTGTAAATGGCTCCTATTTAGCACTGTATTATTGCACTTTTCTAAGTGCTAGGTATAGCTGCTGTTGATTGTGTTCTTGTTTTTGTCTTTTTTTTGGTTTTTTTTTTTTCCCCCTTCAAATTCATGTGCCAGAGATTCTAACACATCTATGTTTTGTGCATGGGAGAAGTATTGCACAAAAAGGGTGTATCTGTCCACTCTATTTACAAGCATACGCATGTATCTGTATGTCTCTAATATGTAGACACTCTGCCATGATATGAGAACATTTGATTTTTGGACTGTAGGTGTGCTATGTTGTACTAGCTTTGGAAACTGTTAATTCTGGAGGAAAGAACAGTGTCACGTGAACTTGTCTCAAAATCAAAGGCCTTGTTTAAAAAAAAAAACAAAAGCTTTGTGTGTGTGCTTCTGAATGTTTGTGTGTGAAAGGAAATACTTTTTTTTTTTTCTGTCTTTTTTGCTATTTTTAATAATTCTTTTAAGGCAATCCAGGAAGTTAAGAGGAATTGGGTTAAACCAACAGAAGGGCAGATGCAGGAACTTGAATTTCTACAAAAAAATGCAAACAAAGCAAAGGTAAATGGCATTTGAAAAACAATATAAACAGATCAAAGGAGTAGTTTTGGAAGCAATGATACTAAAGGCTGTGACCTCAAAAATAGAGCATGGTTTTGTGGGGTGGTTTGAGTGAGACTCAGGTCTCCCATCTCCTGGTCAGATACTCAGCTATTGATTAGAAAAGGAGGTTCCCCTCTTTGCTAGCATTTTAACATATCCCAAAAGAATGACTTGGATCCCAAGGACTAGCAAGAAGTTTTTGACTGTGAATCCTAGCTTTCTCTATTTGCTAAACTCAGGTGTAAAGGCTTGTCATCCAGTTTAGGAAATTGGATGGAAATTCAGTCTGCTGGGACTGCTGTTCTCAGTATTTCTTGCTGGTTAGTTTTATCTCTTCCCATCATCATATCTGATAAACATCCAAAAGATCCAGCTCATCATATCCTGTGGAAAAAAAAAAAGTTTCTAAGTCTGGACTGTGAATACTGTTCTCCAAATCAATCGCTCACATATTGTGGTGAATCTGTCCTCCCAGGAGAAAGAGTATTAGGAATCTAAAAAAATCTGCCTTATAGCACCCCCCCACGTCCCCCGCCTCCAATCACTAGATTTCACTTGCCTTTACACCAAATTGCTTTAGTTCTGTGTTTTTTGGTGCAGTTCCTGGAGCTGATTCGAGAAATGCAATTCTATGGATACATACAGCTTGATCCTTGCATTTGTGACTATCCAGAAGAAGGCTGCTCAGCTGACATCTGTGTTGGCAATAATGAGATCAACTGCTGCATAAAACTACCTACTAACCAAACCAAAGAGGTCAGCTTTAAAATCAACAGGTTAAGAAGCTGGCAGGTTACTTCACTTGTAAGTACTTCACTGACTTTGTATCTGAAATCACTTTCTCTTCATGAAAATGAAGGCTGTTGAGGAAGGGCAGGTCCTGGGGGGAAGGAGGTAGTCTGCTTTAAATCCCCCGCATTTGCCCATATTCCCCTCCAAACCCATCCTGAAACATATTTCTTAGCAGCCTTTAGAGGAGTAAACCATCTAGTCTTATTCTGCAATATTTTCTCTGTTCCCTGGCATTCCATTTCATACTTTGCCTGCCCCTTTCATTTCTTGTTGGAGATAGTTGTCAGAATTTTTTGTGTGGGAGCAAAAGAACTGCTTTAGCCAGCTTTATGCTTGTAAAGACTCCCCCTTCCTTCCTCCCACTTGCTCCCTCCTCCAGGAGAAGTGTTCTGGTACAGATCTTCAGCTGCTTTATTTATATACTGTATAAAATGAACCTAATTGACTAATTCTGATTTAAGGCTGAACACCTTTATGCTGTTTTTAGCTGTTTCTTCTGTTTGTTCGTTGGGGTTTTGTTTTTGGTGTTTTTTTTTTTTTTTTTTTTTAGGGGGCTACAAAGGATGGTGAAGAAGATACTCTGGAGCTCAGATTTGAGTACAATGATTCAGGCACGTGGCAGTGGATAACTTTGTACACAAAACAGGTTAGTTCTCAGTCCTTTAAGGAAAGGATCAGAATAAAATGTAATCTTAGAGCCATAGGGGATCTTCAGAAGTGGTTAGTCCATCTCTCACAGAGTGCAGTGGCTATGCTTTCAAGCAGGTTAGCCTAGGGACAGTGTTATCTGGGGAAAAGCATTTGAGTTTCTAGTATAAGGAGAAGAGGATTTTTTTTTCCATTGAAGAGAAAAAGCTAGCACTCAGCAGCAAGCCTGAGATGGAGTGTGGAGAGGTGCCACTTATATACTTACTGATACCAAAATCATTAACTGATCAGACCCATCTAAGGCCAAGGGCTCATATTTTCCACAATAAATCCTGTTGTTCAACTATAAATATATGCCATATTAACACAGGTTAATGGAGGGTGTGAATATGTAGCATCTTAAGGTTTTTTGGTGGGTTTTTTTTACATACAAATAATCCTTAAATACAGTTTTATAGGGTGCCATTCCTCCCACTGTTTTCAGGCAGCTCTTTAAAGAGAAAGGTATCCAGGAATTCAAGTCAGCCATCTGTGGTTATGCTGCCTAGCAAATAATCTAGGCTCTGCAGTATCAAAGACAGCACCAGTCTCAGTTTAGGTATGGAGCTTCTATAAAAAGTACAGAGCCTGTTATTCAACTAAACTGCTTCTCTTGCCTTTAAGACCCACCCAGCAGCAGACAGGATTTTTCAAGTAAAATCGGAATGCTTAATTTCTCACACATTACTTCTGAATTCTGGGGTGATGATGCAGTTCACGCAGCTATTTAGTAAGTGTTAATTTCCTGCCACACTTAAGTTTTATGAGAACATGATCCGTAAGTGGTAAGCTTTGCTGTTGGGGAATGGAGGAAGAACCCCCCCCCTCCCCCAAACAAACAAAAACAAGCCCCAAAAAACCCCAGAATTACCTCAGTATTAATTCTCCTGTGAAATCTATTAGGGCTGTGCTTGATGTAGTGACTTTTTGATTAGAAAACCACCATCCCACTTTCCTCAGAAGTGTGAGGAAGAGCTGAAGGCCAGTAAGGTGCTGCTGTGTGGAAGAAACAAGGGGTTGATCCAAGAGCCCACTGCAGAAAATGGAAAGACAGATGATTTGGAGCTTAGTCAGGAATGGCTCTCCCTTTCATCGCTGATCTTGTAGGATATTTTGTCTTTGATTCGTCTTTCAGAGCTTGATGCCCTGCCTGAGATGCTTTATTTTGAAGAGTAAGCAGTAAGGTGCATCTCCAGGGTACAATTCAGACCTTAACTTGGGCTGTGTCATCCTGTGGAACTACAAACAACTCCTCTCCTCTCTGAGGTGCCTCTGCTAGATACCTGATGTGTTATGAGTGCGTACTGCTCCGTTCATATTAGCTGTGTAAGATGCAACTCTGAGCTGGTCTACAACCAGTTGTGGCCATCTTGTGTAACCACCAGGGCTTTGATTTTCAGCAGCGCTGAGTGCCTGTGAAGTCCAGCTTGTTCCATTTGTTGAAGTGGTTTTGATGCTGATGGTGCTAGATTTGATTAACCTTAATTAGCCTTTGGTGTAATTTGTCAGCCTTTAAGGTAGGAGCCACAGACAACTAGAGAGAATAACTTGTCTCACAAAGCCAGTCGTGAAAATTCTTCTTCTCCACCCTGAGCAGTGCTGTGAGGGTTAGTCATGCTGAGGCTGGGCTGTAAGCAACTGCAGATAGTTTGGTGCACTGTAAGGGTGTTAATTCTACTCTGTGCTTAACTGAATTAGGGAAATAATAGTCCAGTGGTTAGGGGCTGTAATTTTCTGGTGGAGGAGGAATGGAAGAGTCAAATACATCTTCTAATAGAAGAAATCAGGATGTTCTCTGGTTTATCCTCTTTAGGCCTTTTTGCTCAGTAGCTGCTTGAAGAAAACGATATCAGAACAGATGATGAAGGCAGCCAAAGAAGGCCAAGAAATGGTGAGACTGTGTGTATGTTGGTATCTGAATTTGTGTGTAAGAGAAATAAGCCTGCTACTTGATCATTCTTTCACATGTGCTGGGAGAATTCCCACTGGGGAAAAGGATCTTGCATGTTCCAACATTTTAGTACAGAATTAATTGGCTAAGAAGTACATCTTTGCTCAGTTTTACTGAAATAATTTTCTGAATGTCAATGATGGTTTATCACTGCAGTTTTAGTAATCTGTTTTGCATTCTCTCACCTCGACTTTAATTTTTGCTGCATATAATAAAGGATATCTATGGCATAACTTTTGTGTGTTCTGCACTACTACCCTATTGTATCCCTTTCTGGCTTTCCCTTTTTCACCATTTCACTTGCTCCATCTGCTGCAATGCTGAACCAATTTGAGATCTGTGACATTCACACTGAGAAGCTTTTTGGTTTTAAATAGAAGTGTTAATAAAATAAAAATCCGATTTGTAGATAAAATACTTCTGCTGTCCTTTATGTAGGCCTTTAAGGATGAAAATGTTTTTAGACACTTGTTGTTTTAAAAACTAATTTCCAGCATTAGTAATGCCTTTATTTAACCTTGTGACATCTAAAGACTTTGAATGTCTGCTAACTGAAAACTTCTGAAGAGAGGAAAAAGGAAAGGAACATGTGTGATCCTCTAGACCCATGCTGATCACAGCGAGCAGTGAGGCAATGAACAGCATGTTATTTCATAGCTTTAAACTAGAGCAATTCAGAAGAAAAGGCCAATTTTAATATTGGAAAAGATTTTCTCTTTCATTCCAAGTCTATTTGTAATGGAAGTACAGTAAACCTTTAATTATGAAGATGAGCATTCATTACTTAAATATTCAGCTGATGATAGTACTCAGGTGGCTTGGACTAAAACAGAATTATCAGAGAAGGGCAAATCTGCCAGTTCATTTCCTATGCTGTTTCTGCTGGGTTTAAATGAATGCTGATTTGTTCAGCATATTTTGTTAGAGTACTTGCGGGAGCATTTATGCTTATTGTAAGTTTAATTTTTTCAATCTATTTAGGAGATCAAGAAGCCTGGATCCATGGAAAATAGGAAGAAATCCAACATGCAACAAAAGCAGGTCAGTGAGTGAGAAATTGTCTCCAAAATGCATATACAGTATGTCTTGCTTCCTAGTGGTGTTTAGCCCAACCTCTGCTTAGGGAGACTCCTAATAAATTCAATGGGAACTACTTTGGGTAGGAAAAGGCGCTAAACTTGAATTTTGGAAGGAAGAAGAGGGCAAGAAACATGTCTGAATAAAAATATTTTAATTTCATGGGTTTAATGGCAGCTTGCTTTATTTTATTTGCTTTTTGCAATTGTTTCTGAATGAGATTGTTGAAGTTACAGAAAGCCAGAATACGTACAGAGATCATGTGTATATCCACATGCAGCTGCTCATGTAGTTTACAGACTTGGCTTCTGCACTGGGATTGTTCATGCATTCATTTTTCCTGTAGCTGGGGATTGTCCTGATTGGCAAAATTTGTCATGTTATATATTTATACATACACATTCCTATCATGTACAAGGTGTAATTCCAAGTTCATTTACTGGAATCAGTAGTCATAGCTAATAGTTCCTTAATAGCTAAATGGCTAAAAGATGCTGCTTTTCCAAGTAATTTGTTGAATGAGGTAATAAATGGCAAGGGAATAATGTAAAGTGAATTAAAATAATTACCTCTGTTACAGTGTGTGATTGGCCAAAGGGGATATATTTCTGAGAGAAAACACCAAAATCTAATCTGAATTCAGAAAAAAAGTAAAGTTGCTATATCTTCACAAACAGCATAAAGCCAATCACTAACTGCTCTTAAGTAAGCAAAGCGATTAACCTGTGGGGTGGGTTTTCTTGCCCCTTTCTTTGCTCTGTACCTCTCACTGCTGGAGACTCTACTCTAGGTGTAGCCATGAGTATTCACAAATAACTTACAAGTGATAATAAGGGGACAACTTTCTGAATAGACGTGATGAAGACTGAAGGAGGCTGTTCAGTGGCCTTGCTGCGGCACGACTTTAGCGAGGGCTAATTTGTGTGGCACTCTGGGCTTGAAGCAATTTTTCTGACTTGAACATACTTTAAAATACCTCCTTGATAGTGAGCAAGATGAACTGTGAATGTTCCCTCTGAATTTCTGTGAGGAGAGCAGCCTTGGAGAGGACAATGTAAAACCACTGAGCTTCTCAGCTGTGTCTCACTGGTGCAGTGTCTGGCTGCTGATACAAAACTCGATGAACTAAGACAGTGACAGCTGATAATGAGAATGGAGTTGTTTGTTAACACAAGTCAAGTATGCTGTTGTGTTAAACAGTGATAGTATGGCACGCTATGCCCCATTTCATACAGCAAGCTTAAACTGGTTTAGGTCTTCCTGCACCAAGCTGTGCTATCAGACATCTAATATAAAACCTTAAACCATGCTTAGCTAACTTCTAAGTGCTTCATTTGGAATATTAAGGTTCTTAAGACTTCTCTTTCCTATTCCTCTTTTTCTCTTTGCAAGACACTTGAAAAATGTATTAGAAGTGTATCTTTGCACAGTCTCATTTGAAAAAGTGGCGTTTGAGTTGGGTCTTTCCAATTTTGTCATTAGTATCCCCAAGAGTCTTGCAAGTCTTTGCTCTAAGTTGGCAGAAAGTTTAACTGACTGCTATCCAAAGACTCTGGAAACTAAAGCCAAGTGTTTTCTGCTGACTCATGAGAATAAAAACTTTGGTTTTCTTTGTGATCCTGTAGGAGTACTAGATACTGCAAGGTCAGCATAACAGCCTGTAAATTCTTGTTTGAATAATCTAGTGCAACTGTAAGTCTTTAGTAGGGAAATGGAGAACAATCTTTTGAATTGAGATAAAAATTACTTAACTAGTATGCAATAGGTGGACTTTGCAGATAGTGAGGCTGTGCTGTAGAGCGTGCCTGCATCTAGGCAATTTTGCTGTTATATCTTTTAGAAGTGAAAAAGGAGGTATGAAATAACTTCTACAGAAATAATTTATGAAAAACTTAGTTCCAGTTTCGTAATGCCTTAATGTGAGCTATTGCAGCATGGTTGCCATAGCTTTGTGATGGACACTTTTAGTAGGGTTTTTCAGGACATTTACTTTCCATATATATCAAAATACCATGTTCCAAGAGGCAGAAAAAAATCTGTGCCATAAATTTTCCTGGTACAACTGAAAACTGCAGATACAGGCAATGTAAAGAAATAGTTTGCCTGCTTCTTGTACCTTGGGTGCTTATAGATCGCCTGCTTATACCTGCCAGATGATGTGGTGTTGGTAAGTTTCAGACAGAACATGTTTTTTCCCTTCAGGAAAAGTGGAGTTGAAAGGTGTCATTTATACAGGTGTTATGGCTAAAGTTAATGTGTGGTTAACAGTAGTCAATCTAATTCAGAAGGCCTAGTAGGCAGTTGAAGTACCTGTACATATGTCCTTGTGGCCACTCTAATGCCAAACAACATTGATGTTAGCACATTTGGAACTGCCGTTCAATCTGTACCACATCTAGTACATTGCAATGACCCTTCAGAGCAGAAACAGCTGTTCTTGTGTCCTATTCCAGTAGGGAAAAAAAAATATCTGTTCTCTCTGAAATACCAACATAAAGAGATCAATTCCTGCACCTGAACAGTATCACGTCAGATTTTCTAGCTGTGTTTGTATCTATCTATAATTATTGAAATGCATATATTATTTTAACTGCTGGTTTGTTTTATTGCAGGTAGTTCATTCGGGTTTTATAACAAGGAGAAGATTTTTGGTTAGGCCAAATGAAGATGACTCTGTATTTGAGAAGATAAGAGAAGAGGACCTGTGATAATTTATTGTAAATACTCTCTTTCAGAATGGATTGTCTGGGAGTAATAACCCCACTGCTGAAATCTCGAATTATAAGAGCAAAAAAAAAAAAAAAATCTTCATTGTAGTTTTTTGCCTCTGCAGTGTTTCTTGTAGTATTTACAACTCCACTGAGCCAGTGCCGATGGGTGCTGAGACCATGGAGATGTCTTGTGTACATGCTTTTTGTGGCTTTTTTTTCCTCCAGGCTAAAACTGTTGGGGTGGAAAAGGGAGGGTTAATTAGAAACAGTGCTATCTGTTAGAAGAGGAAAAAACATTTGGGTATCAGTTGATAGTGTTTCTCTGAGTATAGGTGTGATTAGCATGAGGGCTGAGCAGCCTCTTGCCACCTCTTCTCTGCCTGCTGCTCAGCTTCCCGAGTTCGTGGTGCAAAGGGGGTAGTACACACAGCACTGTCAGCAACAAAGGTTCTAACAACTGCGTGGGGTTCCTTTTTTTTTCCCCCTTTTTGTCACAGCTGCTGCCCCTGCTCTAGGTGCTGTTTTCCATCACTCACGGCCCAGCGGCGGCCTCCGCCCAGCAGGGGGCGCGCGCGGCCTCCTCG